GTAGGGAATTAAAATAACTCATGTTGTTAAATGTTCATGGAGAAGTATTCATTCATGAGAATACACTAGCTCTGAAAGCGTTTGCACCTCTGCAGAAAATAAAAGTTGCAAGCCACTGTAAAGTCACTTCCGTTTCTTAATGGTTAGTTTGGAACTGAATATGGTTGCCTGTACAAATTACATCAATGAGAGGGTACTCTCATTTTCCAGGGACTACTAATCAGCTGCCTGTAGTACCAGCCCAATCCATCTGTGCCGCTTACTTCAGCCAAAATGCCAAGGGGCCAATTTAAGCACCTTTGTGACCAAGCAGCGCTAAACTTCACTCATTGCATCCTTTGGAGAACAGGCCCAGTTAGTGACATTTCAGGTCTAGATCAGGAAAAACATGTGAAAAGCAATTTTGTAAAACACACCACAGAGTTTCATATTTAGTGTCTTTCATTAATTTCCGTATCATATTTTCTCATTTACAGCTACAGAGGTACTTCTTACAAATGCAAACCCACAGTCCTAACTATTCTGCTGCATGATATTTTCATCACTACCTTGGTATTTGCTCATTTTCAGGGAATACAGGAATATCTTATTAGAACACAAAATCTCTATTTATTCCACAGATTTCTTTAAACCAGAACTAATCTTAATCATATGTAAGCAAAGTTTTTTTTCTAAGAAGACTGAGCAGTAGCACCCTCAGTGAAGGCAGACTAACCTTTTCCATTAAGCTGCCAGTTTCAGTTGCTGGTAAAGTTCCAGACTTGAACCACTTGAGCTAAATTTGCCTCAGGCAGAGCTTTTTTGGAGATGAATACATGCAAAAGTTACAGGGAGAAGTGCTATGTATTTGCTAAACTTTTTTCTACAAAGATCCCAGTTCTGGAAACTAGTAATAAGGCCTTATTGAAAGAGGGTCAAGTAGTCATTACCATACGTCGATACAGCAACATCAACAAATCCAGGAGTCTACTTGATCAGCAGATCTAAATCTTTGAACTGGAAATCCCACCATTTCAGTCCAGGGACAAATAGGTTCAGTGTGGGAGGCAGAGAAGTGGCAGTAGCTGCCTGCCCAGCCCAGTCTATTTATGTGATGTATCCAGGCCTGCAGGAACCAGCCATGCAACTGTTTCTCTCAGGTTGAAGGGAAACCAGCATTATTTTCAGCAACCATTAAGTATTCTGATTCAAAATGAAAGGAGAAAAAAATCCTAGGCTTTCTGTTTAAGTAGCTGTTCACGTTTGAACGTGTAACTTAAGATTTCAAGACCAGAAGACTTGAGATCAGGAAGGTGGTTCAACACCTGCACACATCCAAGAGATTTCTGAAGCACATGCTTAACTTTAAACATACGGTTAATTCCTAATAATACCAGTTTTGAACCTGTGTGTTCATCTTTCGTTTCTCTATTCATGCTAAGTAGCTGCTGTTACTTATAACAGCAAGATTTCAAGCAGCATTTGCAGGAAAGCTTGAAGGTGAAGTGAGGGTCAGAGAGCTGAGTGAAATTCAGAAATCATTGTCGTGGGACGGCTGTGGGATCTGGCTGGAATTGCTCTAACCCCCCCTGCTAGTGGTGTTAAGTCCTGAATGTTGCTTTTGTGTGTTACAGCTTACTTTTACAGCCTTCCACCTTGAAAGTCACTCACTCTGTAAGTGGGATTCTGTTACTATCCTGAATGGTGGCTCTCCTGGATCTCCTGTCATAGGAAAGTATTGTGGAAATACATCCCCTGGGACCATTCGGTCTGGTTCTAGCAAGCTAGTTGTGATCTTTAACTCTGACCATTCAGTGCGAGGAGGTGGCTTTTATGCAACGTGGGCAGCAGAATCTCTAGGTAAGAAAAATAATTGTTCTTTCATCGGTCTAATATAGCAGTACATCATGCCTATTTAGCACTTTTCAGACACAACGTAAAACAGGGCTCCCTCTCTTTAAGTAAGTTTGCATTACAAGCAAAATTTGGCCTCACATCCTTCTAAACAGAATTACTATTATCTTAAATGGAAGAATGAAAAAATAAAATATTCCTTTTAAAGCTGATATATGTATTTTTTAATTGAAGAGGAAAAAAGTAGAATATCATATAGCTTTTTTTTCTTCTTTACTCATCCTCTTACTACATCATCGCTGAAGTAATATCAGATTGTTAGTGCTGTACACATAGCCCTAGTAAATTACTCTTGGCAGCATATTTGCAAGTATGTTTCAAATTATCTGAACTATGTATAGGAACATGAGGTGACATAGAGCCATGACTAGCCTTTATAAATTAATCTGTTAGCAATTTTTTAAAGGCATGTATTTAGCTGTCTCCATACTGCAATTCACAGGGCTGCCTGGGCTGGAGGGGAAGTCATCATTTTGCCCTGGGTCAACAGATGTAGCTTGAGTAGATTCACATGTGGAACTGCAATATTTGCATGTTGTAAAGTGAGAAAAACTGGGATACGGCAGTAGAATGAAGTTTTGTCCCCAGAGCATTTCTCTGAATGGCTGTCAGCCACGATGTGCCTGCCGTGTGGTACAGTCTCAGGAGAAGCTCCTCATCGGTGCGTTTCTGACCTTCATTCTCTGTGTGAGCAGCAGTCGCTCCTAATTGTCAGGAGCATACAGATGGGCCAGAGCAAAACTGGCATGCAGAAGGAACTCGTAACGAAGAGAAAGTGAAGCACAAAGGGAGACCTCCTCTGGAGTGTAACTACCTCTTTGCTGCAGGGGTAGGAGAATGAAAAATAAGCAATAGTGGGGTAAATGAAGGCTGAACAGGTATTAGGACGCTCTTGCTATTGCAGCCACACAGGCAGGCAGCCATTCAAAGCTGTGGGAGTACTGTGGGAGCACCAGCAAGAAATATTTTGAGCATGTCTCACCTGTTGCTACTCTCTCTAGGCTGTGGTGGAATTATTCATTCAGATAATGGTGTGATCAAGTCTCCTCATTGGCCTCAGAACTTTCCCATGAACACCAGATGCACGTGGACCATCATTACGCATGAAAGCAAACACTTGGAGATGTACTTTCACAATAACTTCCAGATCCCAGATAGGGATGGAAGCTGCCAGAGCAGTTATGTGAAGGTAAAATAAATGTTGATGCTGATGTGAGATCAGCAGAGCAGTGATTAAAATAGTAATGATTCTAGAATCCTGTTTTGCAGTCATGTCATTGTTAGGACTGTTAAGGCACAAATTCCAGGAAATATAAACTAAAGTCCGTGTACGCTACAGTCAATTTTTAATATGCTTCAAGAATTGGCTTGCATATATTTTAAATTTTTACCATGCCTTGAGGCTCCACCTATTCAGCAGGGTCCCCTCACCCTATATGATGTCTCAAAGCTGAACAATATGAAAAAAGGACATATAGCTTCAGAACCAGGAAACAATGAGAAAATATACTGTAAAGAAAAGGCCTTTTCAATTAATCCAGTGAGTAAAAAAACATGAATGTGACAGTATAATTCCACAAGATTTCTTTATAAATGTGTATAAGCTGTCCAAATTGTACTAATCCTTTTTTTTTTTTTATCTCAAAGAACAAAGATAGCATTCTTATCCTTCATAGGTTGTCAAGAGCCACTTGTTTTCAAAGCAATAGAACAGAGTGGGCATGCTTTGAATTTTTCAGTGTAATTTTTTTCTCAGGCATTTGGCCTATGTTCAGTGGTTTTGTGTTCATTTTCTCCATAGCAGTACAACTCCCACTTGCAATAAAGGGCAAACATTATTGACAAACATGTAGGAAGACTTGAGCAGCTGTACATCTGATCTATACCTAGTACCTTACAAACCTCAAAAGCATTCATGTTTGAAGGCTGTGAGAAAAATAATTATCAAATTTGTATTTTCAAAGGCTGCTCCTCTGATTAATTGCTGTAATATGTTGCAATAAAGTTTCACTAATATATAACAAATTTTACTTCTCTCCAATAAAGAGGCTTTAAATTCAGAGTTCTGAACTGTCCTGAATGGTGTGTACACAGCTGGTTTTAAATGGGCAAAACTATGTCAACTGGAGAGTCAGCCCTTAGAGAAAAATCTGAAATTATTTATGATGACCCCCTCCATTTTTGAGTGTCCAGTTTGAAATGTCTGGTCTCTGGATTTGAGAAACTGCTAAGCAGGTGTAACTTTCTCCCATGTATTCCAAACTCAGCAGCCAAAAAAAGAGGAATCCAAAATCAATAGTGACCTTGCAAAATCTTGGCCAGGCTATGGATTGTCTGTATTAATCCTTTGAGCATCCACTGCCCCAAACACCTGGCCAGATGAATGAGCTTATTCGTATGCCTGCACTTACAGACTTAACCCTTGGCTAACCTTAGTTTAGGATGTTTGCTTAGAGCAATCACAGTTTTATATCATTGTTCTAGTTTCACTCAGATTTCTTTTAAATATATTATTTTTAAAATCAAATATTATTTGTTTCTTATTTATTTTTAGTGTAAGAGATCAGTAAAAAAGATCACATTAAGCATACTGCTGCAAAATAAATGTATTATTAAACTAAATCCTTTTTTACTTTTTCCTAAAGCAGAAGTTTTAAGTCTTTGGCAATAAACATCCATATTCTGGAAATGATTTAAGCACACAGGAACATCAAACACTCATGCCATATGTTTCTTTTTATGTGTGCTGAAATTCAGTACTTAAAGTGTGAGCCTTAAGTACATGCTCAAGTAATTACCTGAATGGGCTTTCACTTAAATACCTTCTTAAATTTAAACCTGAACGTCCTTCATGAATGCATGGTTTGCTTGACTGTAAATTGGCTATTGGTACAGTTGAAGTAGTATAAAAAATACCAATTTTTCCTTTTTTTTTGGTAAATAACTAATTTTTTAAACTCCCTATATCATTTGATACTTGTTGTTAAACAAGTGAATGCAACATAATAACTGAAATAATTTTTGATTAGCAAGGCTAGCTATTAGGGATTCAGACCTTCCAATGTGGAGCTCTATATTACCCTAGCATGATAGCTTAGGTTTTTATGGACTTAGGAATAGCATAAGGATTGCATTTGTTAATGCACTGTATACATAGGTAGTCATATGGATAGAGTGTACGGAGGTGAGTTAGCAAAGACAAAATGGAAGTAGACAATGATGCACATCATAAAATATTTCTCTCCGGTTCCCTGGACCTGACCTCCGTTGGCCCTGCTTGCAGCAGGGTTGGACCAGATGACCTCCAGTTGCCCTTCAGAGGCCCCTGGCCACCTACTTTATTCTGTGACTCACTCCTTGGAGAAATCTTTTTGTCTCCGCTGACTCTAAAATGAACAAAGACTGATAAACTCCAGTGTAGATGTCTAAGTTTCAGCGCGAGATGAATCCCACCCCAAGTCTATGGGAAGAACAATTAATTGCACGTGTAATTCCTGGTAGTGTGTTTCCACAAACTGTGTAGGTTTTGAAAGCACTAAACTATTTCCAATCTGGGCTTGTCAGGTGTGGAGAGGAAATGGTGGTGAAGAAGAAGCTTTGTTAACCACAGGATGTGGAAGTTCAACTCCTGACCCTGTTGTTGCTCCAAACAATGTGATAACTACAGTATTTCAGTCTCAGGATGCTCCTGGGCAAGGTTTCTCTGCATCTTTCATAAGCAGTAAGTGACATTAAAGCCAGTTGGCTGCTCTAATAGTCCATTTTAGATTAGTTGTATTTGTCTGTGTAGCAACAGTCCAGCAAGACACTGAAGCCTCTGCCCAGCTTTCAAGCACAAGAGTTCCCTCACTGAATGCAAGGAGGCTGCTGCGCTCCCCAGCATTGCGACTTGCCAAAACCCCCTTGCAACCATTAACTTTGTAGCTATTCTTAGCCACCTCGCCTTTTCAGTATGCTGAAAAGAAATGAACAGGCTTTAAATTTTAAGAGGTTGTTTCTCTTCAGTTAAGCTGTTCGGAAGCTAAAGGTATAATCTTCTTAAAAAAGGTAAAAGGATCTGCTCCTCATTTGGCAATTTTTAACTCTATTCTTTTGTCAAAGAACTTGCTGAGACTGTGGTAGTTGCTCCTGTGTATGGGATAGCCCATGTCCTTCACATAAACTGTTCTCAGGAGGAGAAATGACTTGTCAACATCTGGTCTGGCCTTTGCTTTGCTTTGTTGTTGTATTTGCATTTTATGCGGCTCAAGTGGCATTTCTTGGCATGGCCTCTCCATTTCCTTCACGATGGCATGTGCTTTGTGAGGGTCAAACCCACTGGAAGTGCAGGCGACAGTGCTCAATTTCAGTCATTTTGGGGTGGTCTTTTGTGTAGGATGCTGCCAAAGCAAACCACTTTCCCTTCACTCAATTCAGATTAAACCAGCAAGAAATTAAATGCTTAATGTAAGACACTCCTGAAGTACAATCAATTCTCAACTGAAGCTGCTTTTGATTTTATGATGCCTGCACTGTTGTCAGTATCAACTAATAGTGAAGGGCAGACCTCTTAGCGGAGGCAATCACAGGCTATATATGCCTATTCCTAATCTTATATGAGCATATTACTATGTACGGCTCTCTTTTATTTTAAGCCAATAGCTTAGGGACACGCCAGTCGTTTGGATCAGAATCAGCTCCATGAAAATGAGCAATTCTGTGTGCTTTAGAAATTTGGGGTGGCTAACCTCTCCTGCCCCTCTGCATATGGCAAAGTAGCAGGGAGATGATCTGGCTGCAGGCTGTTTCCGTCTGCCTGCCAGGCAGGAAGCATAATGCCACCACTTGGGCGAACATGGGGCTTTTCAAACGAGCTATGTTTTTATGTCTTAAGTGACTGAAATGTGCAGGCTCCAAAACCATAAGAATAGCAGTTCTGCCTCCTTCTAGTCAGTGGGGCTCTTAAGGCTCTTAAGAGGCTCCAGCCTAAGGAGGAGTGAGGTCCTCCTTCCATTAGTGGCTTTGTCACTGCAAAACCAGAGTGATGTTGCCACTTGGGATTATAACAGTGTGTTATTTATTTCCCTTTGCAGGATGTGGAGTAAATTTCACTGGCCCTGCAGGTCGCATTGTGTCTCCTAACTACCCTAGTCAGTATGACAACAACTTGAACTGCAGTTACATCATCGATCAGGGACCACAGTCACTGGTGATCTTAGAGTTTGAGTCTTTCCACTTGGAAGGTAACTGCTTCTTCATAATTCCAGTACGTGCTATGAGGTGTAACTTTTTACGTGGAAACATAGAAGTCTCATAGTATGGAAAATGATTGATACTTTAATTTGCTGGTGCATTCTGACAGACAAACGGTTACAAAATTAATTGGCAGAAGTTCAGTTTTGTGTCAGTGAAGTGTTCCAGAAGAGCAGAAGATAAAGCTCACCTGTGGATGAATATCTTGCAGCAATTAAGTGGGGAGTCTGCCAGGTGGTTAGGGTATAAGGTAGACCACAACAAAGCTGGGTGTTTGTTCCTGCTTTTTTTTTCTTTTTTTTTCTTTTTTTTTTTTTTTTGCCACTGACTCACTTTGTGATCTCAGGCCAGCTGTTTTGCTTTTCAGTGCTTCTGTTTCCCTAACTGATAAAATAGGTATAAATATACTTAGGTGTTATACATGGATGCAAGAACATCTAAATATTTGTGAAACTGCTTTGTGAAATTAGGTGAAAGACTACAGTAGTTGAAAAGCTACAAAAGTTGTTATCCAATCCTTACCCATTAACCCAAAAGTCTCTTTTGAGATTTTCAAAGTGGCTAGTATTTAGCCAAGAAATACCAGGTATAATAACCTGTATCATTGGTGTGAATGGTCAAACTTTCCTGACTTTGATAGGATCAAATCTTTATGGATGGAAATGTCATGATTACACAGAGGAATGAATATGTACAAACTATTTGGGTGGCACCAGAAATTTTAGGTCATCTAAATTTGGTTAGCTTGGAGTAACCTGGAGAAAGAGACATTGGAGTAATTTGTTATTGAGGCTTGGTGAGTAATTTGATTTTTTTTCTAGACCAAATCACAAAGTCAGTAGTTGGGCTTCTTGTCCTTTTAAGTTTTCAAACTGTTTTGGATTACAAAATATTCTAGTCTAAACTTAATTTAGATGTGAGATAAAGATTTGATTTGATTGTGATTTCATTTGAAACCTTTTGTCCCCCCCCAGTACAAAATGCTATTTTGAGAATTAAAAAAAAATTGCAATGTAAACCACAGAAATTATATGATTTCTTCATATAGAAGACACTATTATTCTACGAGATCAGTAGATGCACTAAAACATTAGGCTGAATCAAATTAGGCCTATTTTGACATCTGTATGCATACATACATTACTGTTCTGTACTCTGTTTGTGCATTCAGTTACTTTATAAATGGATTCAAGTTTTTATTATTGAAAAGATTAAAGCAAAGAGGCAAGTGATACAGACATAATAAACATAGAATGCCTTTTAATATTTATCTAGGTCTATTTCTTGCAGGACAGTTGGCTCCTTTCTGTAGCTTCCTCAAGCTACAGAAACCAAAGTCCATAGTCACAGGAAAGAACAGAAATTGGGATATGAGCTACAGCAAATCTGGTTATAAAAGAGGAAGTATGACAGTCTCCCGTAGCTGATTATTCATGTGTTTTCACAAAGTCTTAAAATATAACCCAGTAGTGAAGAGAAACTATCTGTGTTTAAATGGGAAAGAAGACCGAAACCACCAGCCTGCAAACTATCATGCAGATGCGAAAATGTGTTCAGCAGTCCCACTGAATCTGTTCAGCATATGTGCTAAGGGTTTTCAGCATGAAGTCCCATAGTTCTTTTGCAAAGGCAGGACAGTATTTGGCAGCATCTGTTAAAGCCATTTCCAGCTGTTCCATAGGCAAGGAAGCGTTACACCTGCTTAGGTTGTTGCTGAGTGTGGCCTTTTAAATTCTTAAACATACTGGTACAGATTTTCTGGGTAGGGTATTTATAGTTTAAATGCATGTCCAATTAGCATAATTTACTACCTATTTGACCTCTCAAAAGAAATCCAATTGCTTCTTTATGATTGTTTAGTACCAAAATGAAGTATCCAAAATAATGCTTGTAAGGCATACATCTCTCATGGACTTTTAACTGGTTGAAATATGTTTTCCAGAAAATTAGAAGACAGAAGGCAATTGGCTATAGTGCAGTGACACATTGCTACAAAATAAAATGACTTGATTGATTAGTCACAGATTTCTGCTATAGAGTAGTATGTTTTCAAATATGATGAGATACCTGTTCTGATTGTAAAGGATGCCTCCAAATGATGCAGTTCACCCACAGCAGTGAAATAATGCCAGCATCTGGAATCAAATGAATATGACATGCATGTAGTAAATATTAAATATGTATTAAGCACTAAACATAGCAAATAACAATGCAGAGCAAGAGAGAGCTGGAGAAAACTGCATTTGTTGATTTTATGATCAAAATTTAATCTAAATCAGCTGCTTCCTCGTACATAGGAATGACATTTTTGCTTTTACCATCTGAAAATAGACATCTAGTTTACATTTATCATCTGGATTTATCTTCTCCTATACTAAATTGAAAAAAATAGTTCTGTGAAACTACATAGACTGCAATTTGCTTCTGTAACTCCTATATTGTGTTTGGTTATTTTATAAAGGATCGAACAAATAGGGTGAATTTGTTTTCTTAGTCCTTCTGTGACAGTGATAAACGTAGTCCTACATCTCTCCTTACTCCTGGGATCAAAGGTCTAGGCCAAGCTAAAATATTAGAATTACTCCCAAAACTTTTATCTGTATTTAGTAGACTTAGTATCTAAGAAGTAGGTAATCACATTTGGTTTTGTTCACAGTCTTTATTCAGAAGAATTTTCCTACAAATACACCTATAGGACAGCTATAGTAGTATATTATTAAGTGGCTGTAATATTCTCCAGGTAGGAGTGTAATATCCAATAAATTCTGAGTTCCCAATCATGGAAAATAAGAGGAAATGGGTAGGGGCCTCCTGCAATATCTACTTTCATATTTCTGTAGTATTTATGCTCTTTCCATACAAACAACCACACTGTGTTGATAACGTGTCAGCCGTGTTGTAATAGCTTATTTATTTCTCCTTTTTTTTAAAAAAATGCAACAGTAATTTTGCAATATGAGACAAGGTCCCAGCCTCATTTTTGAGTCTCCTGTGTCTGCTTTCTCAGTGGTTACTAGGCAATTCAGAAAGTAGACACATTTTGCAATAGAGTATTTTGAAAGAGCATAAACAGAAGAAATTTGTAATTCCTTACTTTCAGAATAGAACCCTCTGCTATGGAATTTGTTAATATATACTATATAATATATAGCATAGAAATATACACCTGCATAATACTTCTCCTGCTTTAGTAATTACTGTTTGTATTACCATAAAGCCCAGAAGCTACAATTCAGAATGAAAACCCAATTCTTTTAAGTTTTGTGAACACTGAACTAAAAGGCAAATTCTGCCCCAATAAAAAATGAAGGACAATCTATGGTTATAGGCAGAAGGATGGGAAGAGTACACTGTTATTAGTGATCAGACAATTAGGGATCTAAATGTGGTCAAGGTTTTTTGCAGGCACCACATCAAGGAAATGATTTTATGGAGAACAGTGAAATTGGTTTTAAGTTGTTACTGAGAAATTCCTGCTCAATGGAAAGGAGAGAACAAAAAGGCATATTTCAAAAATATAACATAAGGACAACTGAAGCTCTTATCATGTGACCTTTGGAGGCGAGAGTCAATGTATCAATGCTGAGAGGTACCAAGAGATGATAAATAGAGTGTAGCTAGATACAAGAAGGCCTTGAAAGCAAAGACAAGCAGAAATTCCAAGAAAGGTGACACATTCAGAACGTCAGGCCAAGAAATTGATCTCTGCAACAGTATTTAGAAATAAATATTTTCAAGGCAAGAGGAACGAATGGTACAATACCTCTGTTGGAAAATTAGTATTTCTTGAGTGAGAGTCATAGCTATGTAGAAGAATAAGAAAGACTGTGTCTTAAATATAATAATTAGAAACAGTCCACAATATTTACATCTAGGCTGGATTCGAAGACCTAGAGAGATCTAAATCATAGACATGGACCTAGTCAGGCTAGGCAAAATTATGAGCTTGTCAGGAAAGAAGATGCAAGGGAAGACTTGAGGAAGCTCACCTATTGAATGGTTTTGATGGGGGATAGAAATAAGATTTGAGTTTGAAGAGATTTGTAAATGAGATTATACAGCGCAAATGGAGAGATACAAAGAGAGAGACAGGAGAGGAGACGTCTCATTGAACCCTCACAGATGTACTGAAGGAGAGAATACAGTAATACCAGAAGGATGAGCAAAATCTCTCAGTAGACAAGGTTTTATGAAGAACAACAGGGCTGGGTATGTGGAAAGTGCCTGGCAGCTCAAAGAGGATGCGGGTCTGACATCTGGCTAGGAAAAGATCTCTGGAGACTTGTGAAAGCTGTTTCATTGTAGTGCAAGGGGCAAAAATTGGGCTAGAAAAGATCTAAGATAGCATTAGAGGAAATTAACCACTGAGAAGAATTGCTGATGTGCTGAGTATGTTTAGAGGCTGAAAGTATGGACATGAGGAGTTGGAGCAGAGGAACCTGAGATTGGGGATTATTTAGAGGAGAGTGGCAGAGTAATGCATTTCAGTATGGTAAGAAATTAAGGAAAAGTGTAAATGAGCGAATGAGTTAAAAGGATAAAGATCAAACAATGATCAGCCCTAACAGGATTCATAGGGATTCATAAGTGATATTGGTCCAAACTCTGGAGCATTCAAAGCCAGAAATTCATTGCACTGCTGCAAATCAAAACATCACTTTGTGATGGGTGTTGTGAACCTTTGCTTTGTTGAGAAATTCATTTCACTTCATGCCTTTCTCCAAAGTGTTTTCAGAATGACATCTAAGTCGCTTTCTCAACTTTCCTATTTTCAAACTGCACTCGTCTCCATTTCATTGTTTTCAGTTCTATGTATTTTAAAACTGATCATGTTTTTTATTTTTATCCCATTATCAAGTATTCTCATAATAGAGTAGGACATGTAGAATATTTTTAATTAATTATTTTATAATTGACAATTTAATCAGTTATCTGATGAGGCTGGTTACATTCATCTTAGTAACTGATATTAGAGTCATACTAGTACTCTGTTCCACTATTAGCATATTTGTATAGCATGCATACATTGTCTTCACTGACAGCAGAGAGAATTTTTAAACTGAAACTCCAGAAATGATCTAAAATGTATCTGGCTGCTGGAGTCACTCTGTCCTTCCTGTGAAACAGAATTATCACTCCATTCCTATTCGCCATCCTGTTCGATAGGAGTCATCCTGTTTTCTACAACACTAGGAAATAGCTTGTTTTGATTGGACAATCTGCAGGAATCACTCCTCTCCAAAATTAGGTCCAGCATCTCCTGTTAAAATTAGATAATTCTGGGTTAATCCTTTGCAGTTTAAGTAACTACCCCATTGCTGCTAGTAGATCACTAACAAGACAACTTAACCTCATAAACAAGCGACGCTTCCATTATGCCTGTAAATGCTGAAAAAAAAAACCCCACCAGGTTGTTCTATAAACATTATAACTAATGAAGCTTGTTTTGCTGTAGATGCGTGTCCCACCAGCACCACCCACGGACCCGGCTGTGTAGGCTGGTGGTGCCATGCTCCCTGGCCCATGGCTTGGTGGGTCCGTGGGCTGGCCACCTGCCTGTCCAAACTTAGAGCCCTTCTACTGAAAGTACTGCGTGGCCTTCAAGGGGAACATTCCTCTGGGACTCCAGCTCAGCCATTGATTTTTCATGAAACTTACAGGAACTGAATATGGTTGAGCCCTCTCCTCTCAGTCAAATCTGGCTGAAAATGGCAGGGTGGCTAGAAAGGCAGCATCATAAGGCACAGGGACAGAGAGGATGGCTCACTGCTCCAGAAAGCTAACTGCAAATAAGAAACTAAAAACCAGTGGGGGAAAGAAAAGCAGTAGGATGCTACATTCGCCATTTCTGGGTTTCTTAGTGCTTCTGAATAGGCAGCTTTTCACTCACACTTCTATCTGCACTGATGTGCTCCCTAAAGTAGAAAATCAGTTTCTTTTCCTATTGCTCTGTCATCAGATCTCCACTGACCGCCACCATGTCAGTATTTCACTGGAAAAATGCCAGATTAAATTTACAGTTTTTGTCTTGTGAGTCAAGCTGAGGAATCTGGGTTTGGGTGCTCGAAAGTCTGAGGGAATTTAGAGAGAAAGAAGAGAGCCCTGAAACACGTTAGTATATGGCCTATTTTTTCACTTTCCCAAATTCTCACTCTCAAATCATATGAAATCCACTGCACTGAATACTGACTGCTACATCACAGGTAAAGCGCCCATGAAGTTGGTTGCCTGTACAAAACGTGCAGTTATTTTGATCTACTAGGGAAATACTTACTTTTGAGAGGTCTGCACGTCTCTCTGTAGATGGTTCTCACTCAGCTATAAACTCCCAAGAACATTGGGGGCCTGAAGCCTTTTCCAGCTCACAGGATGTGTTGAATGAAGCCAATTTGATGTCTTATACGCAGTGCCTCTTTGTCTTTTCCTGTCTCAGTTTTTCTACTGAGAGGTGAGAAGTAAAAAAAGAGAAGCCCTGAGATCCTGAAATGGAAAGTAATATGAAATTTAATTCTTATTGTGTGTGAGGTACATGTAAACTTGCAGCTCAATAAATCACATCATTGAAAATATGCTGCTAACATTTCTGCATTGTATGTCCACACAGCCCCGGCACTCTTCAGCGGAATTTGTCTTTATGACGGAGTAAGCATTTTCAGCGGGACCAGAGTTACCCTGCACCCTCTCATCACACTTTGTGGCAATGAGGTCCCTGCCCCAGTCAGTGTCTTTGGGCCAATGTTGCTCTTCTTCTACACCGACTCCCACATTGCAGGTTTTGGATTCCGGGCCAGATACAGAGCCATTGGTGAGTAGCCAGATCCTGTGCTTTCAGTGATGGGAAATACTCAGGCTGCAGTCATGGTTCAGTGTAGGAAATGTTGGACCTTACTTTGGGAATCCCTTAGATAGATGTAGACTGTTCATATTCCCTCTGCACTTGCCCAAAAGAGTGCTCAGCACCCGGACATGGGACTGTTCGGTGTGTGCTGTCACTGACTGATGTGTTATCTCACTGTCCTTATGTCAAGACACGACGTTGGACCAACTCAGAATCTGAAACATTTTCCATCCCTTTGCTGGAGCAAAGGAATGCAACCCCTTTTGGCAGCTTTTTTTAGTCTCTTTTTTGGAGAAACATCTCCAGTTTATTTAACTCAGTTCATTTAAAAGATTTTATCATATGCAGGAGGCTGGTCTAGTTCTCAGTTATACTAAAACTGTGTTATACAAAACACTGGAACCAGAAATAAACCATTAAATGGCCTCAGCTATATACCCCCATTTGATGATCCCTTTGCAGTGCCAAATATTAATGCGAATCAGCTCTGATAGAAATAAAACTTGGATCTAGATATATTTTTCAATTTTAGCCGTAACATTTTGTCACCCACATGAGATTTCCATTTTTTCTGAAGAGGAAACATGCATTAGAAAAAGCAGTTTCCAACTGAGTTTAAGATATACGTCTGCACGGATATAAAAATCCCAAGAAATGAAATTGTAATATTTTCTAGGTTTAATTTGTAGCGGCAGTATTTTGATTTTTGAATGCTATTTCATTTTCTACCTACAGAGTTCTTAGCTTTAGTGTTTCCTTTAATATATTCCTCATGTTTAAAGCCACAGCAAAAAGCATAACGTTAAATACTTTATTTAAAATGAATGGCCTGATAGAGATGGTTCAGTGTAGGAAATGTTGGACCTTACTTTGGGAATCCCTTAGATAGATGTAGACTGTTCATATTCCCTCTGCACTTGCCCAAAAGAGTGCTCAGCACCCGGACATGGGACTGTTCGGTGTGTGCTCTCAGTTATACTAAAACTGTGTTATACAAAACACTGGAACCAGAAATAAACCATTAAATGGCCTCAGCTATATACCCCCATTTGATGATCCCTTTGCAGTGCCAAATATTAATGCGAATCAGCTCTGATAGAAATAAAACTTGGATCTAGATATATTTTTCAATTTTAGCCGTAACATTTTGTCACCCACATGAGATTTCCATTTTTTCTGAAGAGGAAACATGCATTAGAAAAAGCAGTTTCCAACTGAGTTTAAGATATACGTCTGCACGGATATAAAAATCCCAAGAAATGAAATTGTAATATTTTCTAGGTTTAATTTGTAGCGGCAGTATTTTGATTTTTGAATGCTATTTCATTTTCTACCTACAGAGTTCTTAGCTTTAGTGTTTCCTTTAATATATTCCTCATGTTTAAAGCCACAGCAAAAAGCATAACGTTAAATACTTTATTTAAAATGAATGGCCTGATAGAGATAAGACAGAGAATGGCATTGAAAGATGACAATGTGCAGTTACTCATGAAAAAGACCTTCAATAACTCACTCAAGTTGGTTGCTGCTATCAGACTTGTGACTTCTGACATTTGAGAAGTATGACTGCAGCCTTATTAGTTTGCTGCTGTATACAAAGCAGATTCTAGCAATTAACATTCCTCTTCCCGCTAGTTGTATTGTTTGCTTGGAAAAAAAAAAGGAAAAAGCCTTCTCCCTCCTAATGTAGAATAATGCTGCTTCTTTATCCTCCCAGCTCCTATCCTTTCTCTGCCAGTGATCAGGCTGCCAGACTGAGCTGTGGCTGAGGAGCCAGGGGCTCTGCACCCAGCAGCACCCCGGATGGGACTGCCTTTGTTAAGGTGGTGGCCTGGGCAATGGCATGTCCTTTAAAACATGAAAAGCTGTGTGTGGCTTTCAGCTATTTATCAACAGGACACAGGGAAACTTTTTTGCCAAGTTAAGATTATAAAATAAAGGTTCGAGTTAACAATGGAGATTAGAGTTGGTTTTATAATAGTTTTTGTTCCCTCAAGTGCTGGAGCTGGGAACAAACATTAACCCACATCCTGGCCTCATCAGCACTCATGGTGTGAAACCCTGGGAAGCCAAGCAGTGCCCTTAGTTCACAGCTGCAGAGTTTAAATTGCTCCTCAGCCAGCGAGCAAGTATGCTGTCTTCTGTCTCAGCCACCCTCTGCTGTGGTGAGGCCCAGCACAAGGTGAGGGGGGACTGGTCCCCGGAGTGAATGACACCTGGGGACTCCTCTCTTCCCTGCTCCATAGAACAAATGGGAGGTTACTACTCCAACAGCAATGCCCCAGCTCTGCCGGGAGATAGAGGGATGATGAGGCTCTGCAGAGAGTTGTGTCAGAGAAGTCGGGGCAGGGCTATGTGTGCAAGTGTGGCTGCTTTTGTGTCAGTGACAAATCTTCATAGAGATCGTGCAGCAAGGATTTGAGTGAGGATTTGCCCACTTGTCAGCCAGGTTTCTCTCGGTGAACTAGAGTGAGTGCAGAGCTCCTCTGAATACCCCGACTCACCTTCTCCATGGGGCACCCTCCTCACCCCACTATTGCCCAAGGGTCACGTGGCAGCACATTAAAAATCGGGCACAAACTACTTCTACTGCACAAACAAAGTCAGTGCTGTTTGATATGGACCAGACAACCTGTTATTTCAATACTGACACCCAGTCTTCCCTTACACAGCACAGCTTTATAGAGATCTCTGCAATTAACTTTTCTAGGCATGGCTGAAGACTGCTCCTATTTATCAAGGGCTTTCCTTTGCTTATGCTTAAAAGAGGACTAACACAATCTCCTGCAAGAAATATGAGAGTCAGGACAAAGCTGTCATTCAGACACTAATAACTCTTCCTTCTGCTTCCCTTGCAGTGTGCGGTGGCATTTTCAATGGCTCTGTTGGCATTATCAGCAGTCCGGCCCATTCAGTTCTAGATTATCACAACAACATGAACTGCTCATACCACCTCACAGTTGGAAATGGCAAAGTCGTGGCCCTCAAGTATGTAATCCAAGTTCAGCTTGTCACCAATGGGACAGGGAGGTCTCAGATTCCAGTTAAAAATAATGAATATTAATAATTTTCTCCGTCTTTCCTTTTCCAAGCAGAAAGCTGAACTAAAATGAGAAATTATCACTGAAGCCATTCATATCAACCTGAGGGTCTTTTAGGATGTCTTACCCTGTTACTTGTTACGTGCAAAACATCACCATAATTGTAGCTTCCCACTTTAATTAGAAGGAGGACTAAGAGATTGTAAAAATACAGCTCATGCCCTTAGTTAAATTCTGTCAGCCTTTGAGGAGTTATAAGGCTCTTGTGAATTGATATAAGAAAAAACTGAAATTCTGCTGGGAAGCTGGTACTCGCTTTACAGCCCAAGTAATAATATCCACCCAGAAGATGTATACTTCTGTGTGTGCTGTCCTACCTAAGAAAAGAGATCTGCCTGCCACAAAATGTTGCCACTGAGAAATTAAAAAAATAGATATAGTCTTCTGTCAGATATATGCTGATTGTGAACAAAGACAGTATTCCCCAACTAAGTGGAAGACCCAGCTGGTCTGCAGTCAGAGCCTGCATTTCATATGCTGCTTGCGTGCCCAAGGAAATTGCAAGGTTAGCAGTTTGCAGAAGTGAGGGAGAGTATGTTTGCACAGGGGAGGTCTGCCTCTTCACAGAAAGCTGAGGTGGGCTGACAGCTTGTCTTGTGAGAGGCCCAGTGGATCACCATTTCTTCGAGGTTGGTTGGTTGTGGTGTTTTGCCATGCAGTTTATAGCTCTGCTTGCTTGTTTTCCTGAATAGGAATGTCTGTGGCATCTATCTATATATGGCTTTGGCCATTGCTATGTACCTTTCTTCAAGCATCAAAAACATACATAATATTGGAATAAAAATGGAAATACTGTACTCTAATGCTCCAAGTGTATTTTACAGATTCAACAGCTTCCAGCTTGAAATGTCTCCTTCCTGCTACAAAGATTATGTGGCTGTATATGATGGCTCAGACACCCATGCTCCTCTCCTCGGGAGATTCTGTGGGTCAGAACTGCCCCCGAATATTAAGAGCTCCAGTAATAACTTGTTCCTGGTGTTTAAGACTGACTTCTCTGGAGCAGCCAGGGGATGGAAAGCATCTTTCAGGGAGACCTTGGGTAAGAATATTATGAGACTGGTAACCCCAAGTGACTGCTGGGAAGTAATATTTCCTTTGCTGAGTAGCTGTTACAGCCTCACTAACCAGGGATGCTGAAAGCAAAAGGTTTCTTAGTTTGTTGAATTAACTAATCGAAAGACTAGGATTATGGGATTCCTGGACTCCAGCCCTGGAGCTTTTCCTTTCTGCTTAACTTTTTTCCTGTGTCTCCAAAGGCACAGATGTTTCTTGGATGACTGAGGACTCAGCAGTGTCCAAAGTCCTCTCTTTTGGAGGAAACTTGGCAAAACTTGAGAACTCTTATCCTTCTGTGGTGACAGGTTGAGGATGCCATAAAGATGCCTCCCTTCCATCCGTCCTCCATTTCCATTTCCTTGCAGTCCACTCACACCTTTTAGAAAACTAAACTGTTAAAATCAGTTAAGATTGGGGTTGTCCCCAGGCATCACTGTCCTGATCTCTGCTGATTTCTGGGATCAGTCTGGATAGTTGGCCTCCACATAAATGAGATCGCACTGAGAAGGAATTGACCATAAAATCTGTTTTGATAAACACAAAAGTCAGGGGCAAAGCTTCATTATTGCCCTAAAAAGGTTTAAACCAATAGTCTGTTTTTAAGATCTGGGTTGAAAGGGACCTTTTTACCTTCTTATAACATCTGAATTGTTATGGAATGATAAGCAACAAATAATTATTATATGTACATTGATTTCATGTCATCACTACTAGTTTCTTGTGCAATTAATTCAATGTTTTTGTGATCTAGAAAGAAGTAATCGTCCAGTTTACAAAGCTAGCACTCAGATAGTTCAGAATGAAAGGCCTTTGTGGTAGGACAAACATAGTCTTCTGCTGAGTCACTGAATCTCCTCCCCACCCCTGGCCAGCCACTTTCTCATTTGATACAGTCTGAGAAAGTATTTACAGATAAGAGAAATAACTAGTTCTGCAGTCTTTGCCAAGAAAAATATTCCCACAGAACCTCATGGTCATTTCTATTATTAACTCTTTTTTTGCTTCATTCTAAGTAGTTGCTACAACAATCTTTAAGTTCATTCTTGTGGACTGTTCTTTCAAGTAATGTAATATTGCTTCATCTGTCACTGTTTTTGAACCGTTAGATATCAGTTGTCAGAGATCCCCCACAGCCATGGGTCCATGTTTCCAGGGTGAGATCATCAGGAACTCCTCAAGCTCTTGCTCTTCCTGTTGGCATATAGTCAACTTTTTTAGCCACTGACTTCATTTTTACTTACACAGCTTGCCAGAGAGCCTGCTTAAACACACAACAGAAAACAAGCCAAGCTCTCCGAGTCAGTACCAAGCCTGATTATTTCCCAGAGTGAGGATATGCCTTTTATGAATAAATTTTGATATCTTTTAAGCTGATTTTTGGAAGGACATTGCCACAGGCTCTTAAGGAGAGGAAGGCTGAGATGTTGCAGGACTTACTCAGGGCAATGATGTTGCAGGCTGGAAAATATAGCTCTGCTGGAGGCACAGAGTGTGACAAAGAGCCCATGGTGGTGAGACACTTAATGGTAGGTCATCTCTCTCCTCTGCGGTAAGGAAGCCACAGGGACTAAAGCACACAGCCTTTAGGCGTCCTGACAGCCTCATGCTACTGTAGAATGGCCAAAAAGTAGAAAAGTATATTATAAAAGGAAAAAATGAGTCACAGTCCTCCAGTTTGACTTCTCTGAGCAATAGAGCCAGGAAAATTTGTGACGCATCTTTGTAATATGAGGTCTGAGATTCTTTTTCAAGTGAGAGAGAATAAAACCACGAAGATCAAAAAGCTTGTCGTTCTAAATGGTGCTGTACAGTAACTCCCTCATGTCTATCAAAAGATAAAATCCATGTGGTTTTGTAAGAGTACAGATACAATCAGATGACAATTAATAATGATTAATCTCTTGGATAAGGAATATAGTATCTGTAGAGCAACAACAAGCCTCATTCTCTATTGGATGACAAAGAGTACATTATTCTGTAGTTACCCTAGGGAAGCACAGCTGGATAACGTAATTATTGCACTCTGTTTAATGTTGTGAGCAACCCTGATTATGTATTGGAAAGAAGCGAGCAGAAACAGTAAACCCTTTTGTAGCAAACTAAACTAAACTATTTCCTTTCTTCACAAGCTCTTCCAGTTTCTTTCCTGATTAGGCTTCTCTCAGGGATATTGCCAAAAGCCAGGGTTATCTATTGTTCATCTCTTGTTAACGTTACTAATAGGGAGTCAAGTTGGTAACCAGTGTGGTGGGAAGGAAGAGAGCAGATGAAGTAGGAAATTTAGAGACGCCTAGCAAGATCTACGGTAACCAGGCAGTCTAAGAGTTAAAACCTGAAATTTGTGTAGAAAATCATGCTCTGTTTTAATTAAAGCAATTTGTTTGCATCAATCATCCTGCACCCACTAGAATAATGAATTCCCCCCAGTAGGCAGAAAAGGCCTAGTGGGCCTACTAACAGAAAGTATGAAATAATGTTAATTTGACAGTATAGCAATATTTCATCCTTTTTGTGAAATGCATTTTCTTAGAAGTATGCTGATTACCATGCTACTCTATATGCTGTGCAATATATTGTTGAATGCACATTTCGCAAGCAACAGTCTTTGTCATGACTGATTTATGATATGGAGCCTTTGCTGCAGGGAAATATATATGGCCTTTGTTGGTGTAGTTCTGAGGGCTTATAAATTCACTGACCAGCTCTGCTTCCAACAGAGTAGTAACCCTGTTGCTGGGGTAAGTTTGGACATTTACGCGCCTCATATTTAGAATCAGTGGACAAGCTCTCAGGCTAAGCTGGTGAACTGAGCTAAATGAGGGATCCCAGCCTGCTCCAAGCATTCAATTTATGGAAAGAAAGACTCCCTCCCTTGCCTTAGTTACCGCTGACCTTTTTTCTGCCTCTGTTTTCTGTCTGTAAAGTGAGAATTATACATCCTTACCACAGTAAGTGTGTGCTCCTCTAGGCAGTCAATAAAAGGATGAGAAGAGATAAATCAATACAAGCTTAAGAGATTTCATTACATCGGATGTCTCTGTGAAAGAAGAAGAGCTAAGATGTCTCCCTGAAGAGTGAGGTCTGCAGGTCTGAGCTTGTGACTTGGCCAAAGCTCTGCTGCTCCCCAGCAACAGAGGGAGACCCGAGATTTTCAGCTGACCCTGGCTGGCAGGGACACAACCTGCATTTACTTCTGCTGTCCCTGCTGTGATAGCAGGGACCTTGTGCTTTAGTGATAAATGGAGCTTCTGACTGTTCCTGTCCAGCAGTAGGGTGACCCTCTCACCCCAATTTGTGATCTCCCTGAGGATCATGATACCAAGGCTGAGAAGATGTGTAAGAGGTTTTTTCTTTTTTTCTTGTTTTTAAATAGTCAGCAACCCCTGTTAGGAGATACAGCTGTATCCTTACTAAGAGCACATCATTTCTGCTTGGCAGCTCTCTGTGCTCATGTACATAGCCTCATTGTCTCAGTTATGAAAAATACATCCCTTTCTAAATGATCAGAGAATGGGGTCTAAGAGTTTTATGAAAGGCAGGTCTGCTCATCAAGGCTGTCTTAGGAAACCACATGAATCTGCAAGAAGCAAGGTGTTACACAAATGGGTTGTGTCAGGAAGCTCTTCCTGAACTTTTCTCATACTGCGCGAGCAAAGTTGAAACCTAGATTTGGGACTGGTAGGGGCTGGCAGGGAAAGTGAGATGGAGAAGGTGAGGAAGATTGCCTGCTTTTTCTCTGCAGTCCTAAATCCTGCTTGACTTCAAGCTGTGGTCTGCTCTTTCCCCTCTCCTTTCTTGTACTACCTCCTGGTGAGCATGCAGAAGTTCACGCTGATCCTTCATGAAAGAGCAGTACAGTGAACTGTATTAATACCCATATCATCACTTTTTTTGCATTACTGTGGGGCCCAGGAGCTCTCAGGCCATGATTCCACTGTGCTAGCCACAACACAGACACAGAATGAAGCAATAATCTGCTGTCCAAAAGTCCTTATGATTTAAACACAAGACAAGGGAAAACAGATGGATAGAGACAGGCAAGAAGAATAGGGCAGCAACAATGAGAAAAAATAGTGTTGTAGGCTCAAGGGCAGAATAAATGCTTCCAAAACCCTTGGCAACGATTAGGCTGCTGGAATGCAAAGTTCTTAAAAAACCCATCCTCTGCAAGGGAGACGGGGAGCCTGCTCTCATTGTTCCCATTTTGCCTAGTTTTTCCCTCAAGGATCCCTCAGTCCTTTTTATTCAAATGAGCATTTCTGAATATTAATCATTTTACATAGGGAAAAAAAAATCTCAAGTGGAAGACTTTAGAAGAAAAATAGTTAGAAAAAGGAGTCTTCCCATTCGATATACTAAAAAAATGCATTAATACGTAACTTATATAAATAATCCTCCGTGCATATTATAGAAGATGATGATAATCTATATGCTTTTCTTCCTAACAAAATGACCTGTACCCTACGTGATACATTGCCCAGAGGCATCTGTCTTCTTTTATTCTATTAAATGTGTATTAAATTACTCGTTTCCTGTTTGGTATACAATACACTAAGTGTCTGTCATTAATGGGCTCTCCTCTAATGCAATTAAAATGTGCTCTTAAAAAATTGATTCAGTAGAATTTTTATAGTACTTTTATGCTATTTTATTTTGTCAATACAAAATTTTGGCTAATATAGTTCTAAGTCCGGTTCTGCACTGTGAGTCAAAAGCCTGGCTCACTGGATTTGATTTCAAGATGCAGATTTTCAGCAGTGATCAGCATACACAGTTTCTGCTGATTTTGTTTAGATTGTTCAGAATCTCTGAAAGTCTAAGATTCAAATGGCAGTGTGAAGTGTAAAATATCGGTTTGATCATTCTACTGTATAGGTAGGGGTAAGGTCTTCTTTTGTGAGTCATTACTAAATTCTCACACCACAAGCAGTATTTCATTGCACTGATTAATGTAAAGAATTTTCTTAATTTTAGTGCCTGCTG